TAAGAAAATTCAATTACATTAAATATATATGCTACATAGAGTCGCGTCAACCTGGTAACGTACTATTTGGTGAACAATGAAACTCGAGTTACTAGATGTGCCACATATCATCATATTGAACCAAAAAAATTCAACGTCTGTTTGACAACCTTTCTTTTGCAATAAAATAATGTTTTGTACAGTAATTGTAGATCGTTTGCTTCCTTTTCTAGTCTTATCATATTAGTGGGCAAGTTGTATAATTAAGAGTGTGTTTGAGCCACATTATTTAAAAAAAATATATTTTGAAAGAGAGATGCTTGCATTACAGGGGCTTGTGAAGCCAGGGTAGACGCCATTGGGGTGTGGCCCGCACTACAGTGAGGGGTCTGTAAAACCCCCGTGAAGAATTTTCCTGTACACCAGGAATTATTCATTTTGGAATAGTAGATTAATGGAAAATGTGTGGTTGAAAAAGAAGGAAAATTTATTGATGTGATGGAAAATATTACTTTATTGAAAAATGTGTTGTTGAAATGAGTAGAAGAATGAGAATGCGAATTTTAATGGGGCTCAAACAGGGGCTAAATTTTAAAATAATATAATATTGTTGGAAAAAGTCAAATAAAGGCTTCAATTTGTAGCTTTAGCACCTGTTTGTCATCCATTTTATTAAACATTGTTTGCTACAGTAAACAATCTCCATCATATATTCACTCAATAAAATATTCTACACACAAACCAATAAAATTACTTTACATTCTCCAAAAAATACTATTCAAAACTCTATTTCTTCTTCCAAAACGGGAGACAAACAAGCACTTATTGGGTCGAGAGAGAACTAGAGGTTAAGTGAATGCAAATCAGTATCTTAACTATTATAGTTTTACCATATAATCGTATCTTATATTATTACATACGAAACATAATATATACTAAGATTATCACATTTTATGGATTTGCACAAAATATAAGTCTATTTTTCTTAAAAGATATTTAACCAACAACATGAATTAGAAACACGTAATTTATAAGGATTGACTTAGATGGAATTAATCAGTTGGACTAATAGCTTCTTCTTCTTCTTCCCCTTTTTTTTTTTTT